TCTGTCCTCGTCTGAGACACGGGCACGAGTGTCTCCTACCTCACGTTTTAAAATACATCTCTATTTATCTTCAGCTTCGCTTGCCCTTCCACTCAGGCCTGCAGCTTTGTGGGCTGCTCCCTTCCAACTTCGCCGGCAAGAGGCGATTTCAGAGAGCTGTCAGCGAGTGTCGAGCTGCTTAAGCCCTAGCCAGAGGTCTCAGGGGGTTTATAAACTGTAGGGTGCTGGAGGGTTTGATCCAGGAAAGCAACTCCATGATAGCAGCGAAAGTCTCACCCTAGCAAGAGCCGACTTCTGGGCACGTTTGAGAATCTTTTTATTCTCTGCAGTTAGGTTGCTTGTTGTGAATAAAAATGATAAGACTTCTTCCCCCACCACATGTTGAAATTAAAATATTAATGTTACTTGCCTTACTTGTGGGGGCTTTTAATCTTGAAAGAAAAAAGTTTCTTTTTTGTTGTGTCTATTTTTTTGTGTGTTTGCATTGATGGCTAATCAAATACCCAACCTGAATGGCAGTGTTAACTGCCTTTCCCAACTCATAAATGCAAGGGCTGTTAGTAATGTCGTGTTGTGCCTGTTACCCTTGGAATTGTGAATATTCTGTCAACTCCCATGTGAAATTAGTCTCCACTTACTGGCTAATGGATTCTGCTTCACAATCCTGTACTACAACACCTAATTCAGCAGAGTACATTCTGCTGTGATTGATGGTTCTTTATTACTGAAAAACAACCAGTAAAAGTTGAGTTGCCATTAATTTTTTTTAAAATGTTAATACCCATTAAATTTTTATAACTGAATATGATGGGGCCTTTGTGGCTTCTTGCTTGTGATGTTTTATTTAACCATTTTTTCCCCACATATTTTTATGGGACTATGTTTCAGACACTGGCTGAAAGGAGTTTAGCTGACTTCAGTTCAATCTGCCATTTAAAGTGTACTCTTCTACAGTAAGATGGTGGAATATTTACCCCAATTAACAGATGCTGCTAATGAAAGACTAAAACTCATGCACAGAGAGAACGGAACACATCTTGCCTTGCTCTCAAAAGGGAATTAGATGTTGAGCGTAGTTAGCCAGTAGTGTATGACAGAGTAAGACTCCCATAACCTGGATTGCAACATCGTTATTTTTCTTATTTTTATGTAATACTCTCTTCTAAAGTGAAATTTCTGCTCCTGTTTTTTGCCAGTTTATTAACCCCCTGGAGATTTCAAAAGCCAGTTTTTAGATTTTCTTACTTTGAAGGCTGTGGAGAAGCAGCCTGTGAGTGTGCTACCGTGACATTTGCAGGTTTACAGTGCGGGCAGTAGTCACCAGCTTTGAAGAGATGAATAGGTTTTGAAAAGGTCATACACAGATCTTGTATTTAGCACATTCCTTCTGCAGATCTTCTTGTTTACAAATGTTTTAGTTAATACTTTAGCAGCTGCTTCCACAGGTACTGATAAGATGTATTATCACAATTCAACGGGCAGGTGACGTGTCACCCAAAGGTGACATGTGGTCAGTGGTAGCATTGTGAAGACCCTTTGTGCTAAGTACCGGACCACATGTGCTCACCTCTTGATGTCGAAGGATGGTTCATGCTTTTAGGTCTTGCACCATTTGATCCAGGTCCCATTGCTTGGGGAAACTAATCCAAATAACCACTCAGTTACATGCTCTGTGTCTACCACAACGGGTATATTTTTAATTCATCCATGTGTGTTTACATTCTAGATAAATGTGATCACATATTTTTTATCTAGTTATTCCTGTAGTAATCTTTGGGAACATAATCTTTAAAATGTAATGTGAAATGATTATTTAATTGAGTGCTTGTAGCAGAATTTCTCCTGTTGAGATTTCTGACTGGCTAACCAATTTCCTTGAGCAATATGGTTTTCCACATGATAGATTCTCTTATTTTCCTCAAGAAGATACTGTAGTTTTAATTGGAAAGCTTTGACATATTTTGGATCAACTCAGAAAAGTCAATTATTCTTTCATTAAAGATCATGTACAAATGGATGCAAATACAAATATAAATGGAAAATGAGACACTAGCACTATATTGGCTTTTACTTCAGAGTTTGGTTTGGTTTGCTTGGGCATTTTGTAAAGACTGAAAAAGGTGGGGGGATATATAATATATGTATTACCTATATATTTTAAATAAGCTCAGTAATGCAGGTTTTTTTGTGGGAGGGAAGTGTTTTTTGATGCCTTCTTGGGCTTTATCTCCAACGAAGCCCATTTTGGCTGGGACCTAAACAATGTCCAAGTCTCTGCTAGTGTTCAAGAGACAGATGTGCCCCACTGGCACGTTATCGGTCAGCCTGCAGGCTTATCTAAACACAGAAATGATGCTGCATTAAATGAGAGGGATAAAATTAGTTGATATGACATTCCTCTGCAGCGTTGCACATACAGGTATGCTTTGATAGCCACAAAGCAATTTTTGTACAGGCGTGTGTATAAACTGTACCAGTAGACTTGCTTCTAGCTGGGAATTACATTGGTATAAATGTACACCTCTGGCAGATACAGTTATTCAAACACTTTCTGTAGACCGTAAGGGAGGTCCCAGCTCCTAGGGATGCGAGAATATAAGGATTACTACTGTAAAGTTGTGAAGAGTTGTGTTTTTTCCAGCGTGTTTGGTTGACATTGTTAATACTTAAATTGCCACTCAATTCAGGCACCTGACTTGAGACAAGCGGAAATAAAAGGGATGTTTCACATCTGACAGGTCTGTAGTTTTGCACTCTCAGCAATTTTTCATAGGCCATGACAGGTGTCCTCTTTTACTCCCAGCTGTGAGAGAGGTTACTGTTCCTATCTGCCTGTTCCCATCCTCTGCCAAAGGTTATCACTGAGGAAGCAATTTACAGGAATTCCTTGTATCAGGCAAAATTAGCAGCCTTACCCTAAGCTAAATTAGTGGTCTCAACTAACTTGGCAGAGAGTTCCTGCGGTGAGCTAACAGGTGCTTAGACTACGGCCTGACTGGTACTTCGGTGGTTCATCAAGGAGAAGTTAAGAGCTGGTAACACCTTCCTCTAGCACAGCTGGATACAAAAGACAACTTTTTGTAGCCTCAGTTACTTTTTCCCACTTCCAAAGGCAGGTTCCAGCCTTCAGGGCTACAAAAGCAAGCCAGTTCATTAAATGAAATCTGAGAAAAGAAGAGGATGGTTGAAAGTATAGATGCTTCAAACAGTGGCCAATCTGGTATGACCCACCTCTAGCTCTGAGCTCCAGTGCTGTTTGTATGGGTGGTGTTGGTTTCTGATATGCAGCAATAACTTTAACACCATTATGTTCTCTCCGGCCTTTGATGAAACATTAGAAAAATCTTAGCAAAGTTACGGAGTTGTAACTACTCAGACCCATCAAAATTAACCGGGAAAAGTCTATTTCTTTGTATGTAAGTACAGATGTGGCTGACTATTGACTTCCAGTAGATAGCTGTGATCAGCAGTTGTTTACTTCTCCATTACCTGTTTGCCCAAACCTAGACCAAACCCAGAGAAAAATCACAAAAAGCATTTACTTTTTATCAACTGTTAAATACTATGTAATGGATAATTGTCATCATGTAATTATTGCTTGTTCAGAACATACTCATGATGAAAAAAACTGAAGCTGTGTGTTTATGTGTCTTTCTTTTTAGTTCATGCAAAGGGGTTTGGATTCACAAACTAAAAAACAACTAGAAGAGGAAGAAAAGAAGATAATTAGTGAAGAACACTGGTATCTTGATTTACCAGATCTAAAGGAGAAAGAGTAAGCTTGTACCCTTTTGTACTTCTTATCATCATTGGATTGTTGTGGAGTGGGAATAGAATATACATAGTTTTTCCTAGAAAAGAAGTATTATTAATAACCAATTAACAGAAGCAAAAATAGTGACAGACTGGCATTACAGCTTTTCTATTACTTATTTCAGGGACATTCTCAAGGTTGCCTAGTGCAGTTTGACCTACTTTCATTTCTTGTGTGTGTTGTTTTCTTTCACTCGCAGTTTCTTCTAGATGCACGTAATTAGTTTCTTTCAGGCAGGGACCAATTCATTCACTGCTGCTTTTTCCCTTCATTTGAAAAAAGACGTTTGAAACCTTGTGTTAGTAAATTCAGCTCCAGTCACATGGTTAGGTCTATTCAGGACAGTTCTGTCTTCTTCAGTCCAGCGCACTTCAAATCCTGTTTTTGAAACAGGAGAAATAATGGCAAAAATACAGGAAGGCTTAGCTAATTTCCTGCTATTTAGAAAGGTGCTTTAAATAGCAAGAGAACTACTTTTAAAATTGCTTGATTTTTGTCCTTTCAAAAGAGGACAAAAATTCCATTGAGGGAGAACATACATAATTTTTAAAAAGCTGGGATCCAGGGAATTAACGGTAGTTGAATAAGGTCATTGATAAATGACTATTGGTGGATATGACAAAAATGTATTTGAGCTTCAGTTGCAGCAAGGAAGGTTCAAGCTGGACATTGGGAGAATTTTTCTAACAATGAGGCGATTGAAGCCCTGTAATAGATTGCCTAAGGAGACACTGGATTCTTCATCATTGGAAGTCTTTTGAGGACAGGTTAGATGGACCTCTGCTGTTCATGGTACATGTTTAACTGATCCTACCTTGAGGTAGAAGAATGAGCTTGATCGCTTCAGCCTGACTTCCTATGATCGTAGGAGTTTGTTTTACATGGGAGGTGAAGAGGATGAGGGAAGAGGCGCGTATGTGTGCGGGGAAAAGAAGGATGGAACAATTCACGGAAGTACTTTTATCTAACGCGTGTATTATGAACGCCTCAGGGTCATGTTTCTTTTCTCGCTCCATGCTCATTAAAAGAGGAAAAAAGGAGGAAGAAAGGGGAAATCTTTCTCTGCTGAACAGAGAATTACACAGCGTTTTATATCCTGACAGACTCAACTAATGTCAGGTCTAACATCACAATGAAAAATTAATTAGAAGCTTTTGCTGGTATGGTAATGCCACCTGGAGAGTGATATTTATGTGGTATTTTTATTCTGGCAAAAGCATTAATGTAGGTGGAATCATACCAGCAAAGAGTGCTTTTTGTCATGAGAGTTAATTTTGCTTGTGGAACTGGCACAGCTTTACTGGCAAAAAGTATTCCTTTGCACTCCAAGCTCCCTGTATTGAAAGATTTATCAGAGCAATTAAGCTTCAGAAAGTAGTTGTTGGTTTAAAATACACTGTGGTTTTGTTTATTTGTGTGGGGGGAAGACAGCGAATGCTTTTTGCATTTGTTTAATTTGATTATTTTAAAGCGCACTGTTTGACAAATGCTGGGTTTGGGGTTTCATGCAGGAGCTTTATAATAGAAGAGAGGAGCTTTATGCCATGTGAGGATCTACTTTATGGCAGAATGTCCTTCAAAGGATTCAATCCAGAAATTGAGGTATCATTTAAATATTCTGTTTTGAGGTGGTCTCGCATTAGGATTGAAGCCCTCAGGGATGGGAATTTGAGTGTTCACACTGCATTCTGTTTGGCCTTTGCAGCACCTTCCATAAATCCTTCCATGTACAGGAAATCCCTGATTCAAACCAAAATGTTGATCAATGCAGCGTCTGGTAAATAGAAGCTTTTTATGTCCTTGTGTTGATGGTCAGTAATTGCATGACTCCTGCAGATTTTCCCTCCCTTAAGTGAGGAAACTGTCCCACACGCTGCTCACTAAAACGATAGCTTGCTTTTCCTCCTGCCATTTAATGTAGAGTCCAACCCTACAAACATTCAATCCTATTTATTCAAGACTTACACGCGTAAGTAAGGGCTTAAAGTTCTAAAGTACAAATTTTGGGCAAGAGAGTCTTTAATTTCTTTCTGGCATGATTCATGCTGATAGAATTACAATGAAGTAGTAATAAAAACGTTACCACTGAACTGAAGCAAGAGGATGAAGGTGTAAAGACTAATAGGTGTGCAAAAGGCTATGCAAGGTGATTTACTAGGGGATTCTTTTAGTTATTTTGAACTTGCTGTCACTGTGACTTGGCATATTCTTGCTTCATGGTTTTTACTAGTAGTTTATTGTAATTCCTTGCAGATATTTTTCCTTCTTAACAAAACCATTTCAAGGACTATGTGCTAACATCACAATGAAAAATTAATTATTATGTAATTCTCTGGTCTCCTGAAGATGTCTGGTGTGCCCTTGAGAAAGTTTGAATAGTACAATTCACTGAAAACCCTGTCTCTGTTGCCTCTTTTCCCAAAGGCAAACTCTAAGCTCAGCTTGGCAACAGGCAGGCATGTTACCTTTTCTTCATGAGTTTTCCTAACACTATGCTCTAGCCTGACCAGGAAACAGCAAATAGTTACTAAATTTTATTCTTACCTTTTATGCATTTCTTCTACCAGTGAATTTCAGCATAGTTGCCTTTGTGTCAGGGTTACATGTTTAAGCTATTTCTTACTTCACTTTCAGAAGTTAATGATCCAAATGAACTCTGGGTGCAAGGAAGAAGAAATTGAAGTAGATGATAAAATGGAGGCTGATGTGTCAGATGAAGAAATGGCCAGAAGGTAAGTTATATTTTACAACATAATCAATATTACCTAGGAATATGATATGTTACTGCATTATGTGTGGGAAAATAAACCGAGAAAGCAAACAAACAAAATAAAACAAAAAAACCCCACAACAGAATATGGTACTTTACAGAACTGATTTTCCAGGAATTCTGGTGTGTATTAGGGAATCTCCCATCACTTTTGGGGGTGAAATATCTCAAAGGGGTTTTCTGCCCTTTGATATCCAGGTATTCCATGCTAATTCCCCCCTTGTTCCAGATTGCTAACAAACCCAAACTATCAGAATGAATAATAATGTAGTAAGTGATCATGTAGTACCTGTGCTTCTTGTGCTTCTGATGACCGGCTTTTTTACACCACTTAAATTGTTGATTAGATTTATGATTTGCTCCATTGAAGTTTTCTCTGATTTTAGTAAAAGCTGTAAATTTTTTATTATTTTTACAGATATGAAACGTTAGTGGGAACAATAGGGAAGAAATTCTTGAGAAAAAGAGACCAGCGTGTACTCCAGGATGAAGATGAAGATGGGAATAGTAACACAAGACCTAGCAAAAAAGCTAAGAAAAAGTTCTTAAAACCTCAGGATTAATGTCAGCTGCACAACTGGAGCTAATAGAAATGTTATCTACCAAATATACTACTACGAACTGGAGATTGTTTGGAGTTTTTGCTATTTAATGTAAAGGATAGATTTGTAAATCTAGTCTGTTCTCATTGAAATTTCTAACATCCACACGGCAAACATTTTTCAAAGTGGATGTGTATATAATGGATGTCATACATCCTTTCCTCTCTCAGCAGCTTTTAATGTGTGGGACACTAATCCCATCAGCCTTTTTAAATGTTGTGCTTAACTAGATCGAGTGTCACATGCAATCAAGAGCAACATTATTTACAGTTTATGATAACATCTGACAGAAGTATTTGGAGTAAAAAGACGAGCTTTGTCCAATCCAGTAAGGCAGTTCACTATGTTTTTTATTATGAAAATGAAAACCTTTGCTGTCTTCAAATTGAAAAAAGTCAGCAGAAACATGGTTTTTTTTACTGTGCTAAAAATAAGATGGGAAAAGAACAGAGAGATAAAATCCATTTTGTTGAATTTTATTTTTTATAAAGCTTATTTAAAAATAGAGGGTTTTATAGTAAAACTTTTTTTTTATAGAGCAAACCAAATATTGGGCAATGTTTACAGTTTGACACTTGAGCAGATTGTGAGTCTTAATTTCTGTCTTCCAAAATAAGTTTGCTAATCTTGTCTCTTTTTCAGCAAAAAGAATTCAATCTTATAATTATCTAGGTCTTGTCGTAAAAGCATAATAACAGCTTCAGAAACTTATTTGAAAGCTGAATAAAAACTGATTTTTTTTGTGGTTAATGATTGTGGTTTAGCAAATTTAATGTAAAAAGTGGTGTTTAATACAATCTGATACAAGAAGTGATCCTGTTTTGTGGTGGCCACAGATGTCCCCCGATATTAATTGACTGCACTGACTTTTTCTGTTTAGTGTGCAATGAAGCCATCTGAAGTAATGTTAGGATGGAAACATCATGCCCTTTGGTCAGTCAGTGCTCTGGGCCTATTGAAAAATGTCAATGTGGTCTTGTCTAAAATCGTAGCAGTTCTCTGTATCCTGGCTTTCAACAAGAGATATTTCTTTCTTCATTATTATTTCATTTCCCCAGCTAGATGTCTAAGTTACTCATTCTTAATGCTGACTCTCTGGAGAAAGAGGAATTTGTTAAACTGAAGCAAGTAGTGGCCATTCTGTCATGGACACAAGAGGCTTTTTTTCTTTTTTCTTTTTTTAACAACTTGGTGAAGCAAGACATGAAACTCAATTACATAAAGAAAGAGACTGTGTGTCTGCTGTATTTTGCATGTGATATATGAACTATAATCCATATATCAAGAGCACCTCATTAGATATTCAAGATGGATCACACATGGAAAGAGAAATATACTTTTAACCTAGTAAAGGGACCTTATACAGGTGGAAGGTCTGTGATTCATGATCTGAGATAGTTTTTCAGAGCTAATTAAATGCTACTGGTTCAATTACTTAAAACCTGATCATATATTATTGCTAGCTGAAAAGAAGTTAATGATGGCAAGACATTTTTCTTCCCATGGAAGATGTGACCTGAGCTAAGAAATGATTTATTGTTGGTCATCACAAGAAAAACTCGGAATATATCCCATTATTCTTTCTTGCTTATTAGTAGGAAAAGTATTCCCCTTTCTCTGAACACATTTCTTCAAAGGAGAGAGAATTTTTGCATATCTGTGCTGTATTCTTGAGGGGGAGAGTGTGTTCTAGTGAACCACCAGTAATCAGGAGATGTCACTGCGATTGCACGCCCCGAGAGACAGCGGATTGGAGAAGGTTCATGGTGTCATGTAAAGGAGCTTTTGGGTAATTTCGATAACTATTAGTGGCTCAGATGAACTCCATGTGAAGTCTTTCTTTGTCAAAGCTCTATGCGGAGAGCTCTCTTGCATTGCAGAGTTCTGTTCAGTCCGGTGGGGGGTAACTGTGCAGTTGAAGGGCATTCTGCCATACGTTGGTCTTTAATTTCATGTCATTTCCTGAGGGATGGCTGGAAATGTGAGTGGCATGGTGCGTGGGTAAGAGTGTGAGTGACTCTCAACAGCTTCCTAGGAAATCCATGATTTTGGAATTTGGGAGGGGGGAACGGTGGTTCTTCTGTTTCCTAAACATGGCAACTATGAAGAAATGATAGATTTTGGTTTATTGTCTTCAAATCTGGGTGCTCTGCTGTTCATGTTTAGCCGGTGGCTAGGTGAGCTATTGAAATGCTACAGATAGACCAACTACTAATTTTTAGCACAATCTCTTACGGGGAGTTTGTAAAATGCACCTTCAAAAGCACCATTCATAGTGCATTATTATGAGCAAGACAAAACAAAAAATCAGCCCTACGTGACTTTTTAAATGTACTTTAAGTGCCCAAAGTTAGAAGCAGGCACTGGGAACTTCTGAAATACCCATCTACATTTCCAACCTTATAAATACATGTATATATATGTATGTATTTTAAGTCTGGCTCTAGCTTCCTAGCCAGGGTGGAAACATTCTGCTGTATAAAATCTGTGCTTGAACTATTCTTGACAGAGTTTTAAGTGTAGCAGTGAAATATTCATAATGCGAAGCTACATTAATTCAAGCTTTCTTGGCTCTGACACAGTCTCAAATGCAGATCCATTTTCATGTGCAACTTCCTAAGCTGTAGAACTTTCCCATGTGGTCGTGTTTCTAAATGAAGAGCATTTCTTCTTTGAGAACAAAAGCAAGTTGGGATAGGTGGTAAGCATTTTTGTTAAAGAAAATGGCTACCTGCAAAATTTAACGGGTAAAGAGTTACCAGACACCAGAAGTGTTTGTGCCTGTTACACTGAGGTACCTATTAAAGCGAACAAAGCAAAGCATGCGTTGTAGTTCATGCTCCCTGACAGCTCACAGCATTAAGTTTAAGCATGTCTCTTGTCAGGTGGAAGTTTTGTCCTTCCCTTTGACAGGCTGACAGCGTTTATTTCTGTAATAACTACTGATGTTGGAAACATGGAAGTATTGAACAACTTCATCTTTCTTGCTGATGTTTCTCATTTTGTTACTTTTATTCTGCCTAGTATTGGATCTTACAAAGTCCAGAATCAGAGTCCAACTGAAGCAAGCCATCCTGTATCCTCCCTTTAGTAATGCATGAGCTGATTAAACGTTGATTCTTTGGGGAGGAGGGAGGATGTTCAGTGGTACCATGGAGTTTGAACCGTGTTTCGTCGGTTATGTGTCTTGTTTTCTAATAAGACACTCCATTATACAATTCTACAATCGTGGATGGCTGTCATTGCCATTGGGCATTGCGTGTGCGTGTAATGGGCAGCTGGGCTGGGATTCTGGGACTTAAGCCAGCATTCAGATTTAAAAAGAAATTGTCTTGTCTTTCTGTTAATTGGAATACCATACTTTGAAATTGTATTTGGAATTAGACAAGTCCTCGGTGGGGGGTTATAAGCGTTTGTTCTGCTTCATTTCAAAAACAGTCAACAACTAAAATTGCGCAATAGCTCGGGCTCTCATTAAACCTTTCTCAGAGTGTTAATAAAGCGTAGTGGTGGTGAAGGATGTCAAACATCCCGTGTTTCCCTTCTGCATGTGAACACATTTCTCTGAGAGCTTTAAGGACTTGGTTGTTTCTTTTCTTTTCACTATGGGAGAGCATCTCCCTTCTACAATAATGCCTTGCTAAGGGAACCCCAGCTTGAAGCCTTGGCTTTGTTTAGTTTTGTTTGTTTTTACACTGTTCTCATCTCAAACCTTTGAGGCATTTTGGGTCTGGCATTCACACCTCAATAACCTGCTTTTGTCAGCTTTTGGGGAGCTTTAGTTAAACTGTGAAACTGTTCCTCAGCTGTACGTGTTGACATTTCTTCATGTGGTTTGATGTTGCACAGTAAGGACCTGGTTATAATTGTCACATCGAGAGGGAAAAATCCCACTCGGAGAGTGGTTATCAACAGATGGAGTCAGGGAGACAGTTGACGTTTCAGTCGTCGGCAGCCCCGTAGATTTTTAGTAACTGAATGCTAGAAGGGGGTATCTGGATTGAGTCCCATCATTGCAGGCACAGTTAAAAATGCTGATATGAGTCCATAGACCTCCGCCCAAGAAACCCTTGCACACCGTAACCTGAGCAATTACCTGGGAGCAACAGGAGGAACATTTCTAGAGAAGTGTGGAGGCAAAATAACCAGTCTGTTGGTGGCTGTCCTCAAGACAAGAGGCAGCAGCACCAGAAAACAACTGTAGTTCATTGCACAGAGAAATAGAGTTTGGTAACCTGGGTGAATGCAGATGGGAATTTCTGTCAGTTAGAATGGAGGTGGTGAGTGTTTTGAAGCTCATAGTATTCCTTGGGGTCTCGGGGGACACCTCGGTTTGATCAATCATTTAGAAAGGGGTAAAAACCCTTAACAGGACCTTAGTATGAGAGAATAATATGAAAACAAATTAGAGAACAAAGTCCTTACTTCCATTATTTATAGAAAAACTGTGTTCCCACCTCAGTAAGATCTTTCAGTGTCCCCTATCGCCTCCTGCTTGCCCTTGGTTCCTCGTCCCTGTGCAAGTGCACATGCACCCAGGCCATCAGCCGCCACCGCGGCCAGTCAGCAGGGAAGAGCCGGCACACACCGCGGCCAGCCCGGAGCTCTGGGCAACTACTGGGCCTCCTCTTCGGTGATCATCTTCTTCCTCAGCCTACGAGCTCTTTTTCCAGGAACTTGTAAGAACTTACTTTCTCCAACACTGCTGTCAAATTTGTTCAATATTGGCCTGTTTGGTTCAAGAAGTTTGTGGTGGGAAGTGTTGGCCAGCAGATCGATAGCACGATTGAACAGACTTCATTTACTTAGCAAATGGTGTGTGCAGGAATCATGCAGCTGCGGGGGGGAGGCTGTATTTACAGCAACTCTTTATGTTTTTATTTTCCTTTATTTATTTTCAGGTATACACTTACAGCATTTGTGAGCTTTATGATCAGATTATGTCTTTGAGCAAAAAGATACACTATCAGTGGGAGGAATCAACATTTGACCAATACTCAGGATTGTCATAGATTGGGGAGAAAGGGTGTTTTTCGGTGTTACTGCTATTTTTTTGGATGCATTTGAGAATATTTTCCCTTTCTCAGTGGTTTCCTTGTTTGGGCTTTTTGAAAAAAAAAAAAAACCACAATTTTTAAAATTTTGATTGTGAAATAATTCTAAAGCAAGGGATTCCTTTAGATTTGGTTGGCTCCTTGATTTTTTTCACTTTAATACAAATGAACTCACTCACTTGTGACACTAAAGCTCCTGTGCTAAGTGGTACTTGTTCAGGATAGCCGTATGGACTCCCATATCTGCTATACACAAAGAGGCAAAATTAAGGGTACAATGGGGTTAGCTTCATTGTTCTACCTTCGTTATACAAATAACTTGCAATGCTAAAAATATAAAATTTCCACCCCTTTTGGGATAGAAGTAAATCTAAGCCAGTTGTGATGTTTAAGCACCATTTACCCTTTATAGGGTGATTACTTATCAGAAGCAAAGCTTGTATGTATCTCCTTAGAGCCCATCAGCCACAGTAATGCTGCAATATATACAATTTGCATCACCAGAAAATGCGTACATACCAAAAATTAATTTGGGTAGTTTACTGCAGCAATGACAAAAGGGATGCACACGATGAAAATTTTCATTTTGTACTATGTTTTGTCTAAGGATGACAGTGAAATAATTATGCTTCCTAATGCTCCTTTCAAAGATGACATTGGTTCAATTATATTAAAAGTGTCACGGTTTAACCCCAGCCAGCAACTAAGCATCACACAGCCGCTTGCTCACTCCCCCCCGGTGGGATGGGGGAGAGGATCAGAAGACTGAAACTCATGGGTTGAGATAAAGGTAAAGCAAAACCAGGAATTCATTCACTCCTTCCCACTGGCAGGCAGATGTTCAGCCATCTCCAGGAAAGCAGGGCTCCATCACGCATAGCGGTTACTTGGGAAGACAAACGCCACCACTCCGAACGTCCCCCCTCCTTCTTCTTCCCCCAGCTTTATATGCTGAGCATGACGTCATATGGTATGGAATAGCCCATTGGTCAGTTGGGGTCAGCTGTCCCAGCTGTGTCCCCTCCCAACTTCTTGTGCCCCCCCGGCCTCCTCGCTGGTGGGGTGGGGCGAGAGGCAGAAAAGGCCTTGACTGTGTGTGAGCACTGCTCAGCAGTAACGAAACATCCCTGTGTTATCAGCACTGTTTTCAGCACAAATCCAAAACACAGCCCCAGACGACCTACTATGAAGAAAATTTACTCTATCCCAGCCAAAACGAGCACAAAAGGTACAGAAATGAGATGAGCTGCAAGTGGTTAGATCTTGTGAAAAATGAAGTTTTAAATGTATACTTCATTGTCTAAATGCTCACAGATTACTTTTCTCCCTATAATAACCACAGAAAATGTGTTGGCAGCATATCATAATCAATAATCCATACTCTTATTTATGTGCTATAGGCACTCCAAAACTCCCCGGACATATTTATTACCCGAGTTTATAACCAGATTCAAATCAGATCCTACGTTTGTGCCAAAAATTGAACTGCAGTCATCTCACAGCGAATAATTCTTTCTACCTGACAGAAGAGTCTTAAATTCCTGATTTTTCCTGGAGTGAAATTCACTTTAATCTGGTATTAATGCATTTTTCCTTCAATTGCCTGCAAAAGAATCCCATAATCTTACAGTAGTGATTGCGCAGACAGTGGGAGGTACTGTACATACGTAGCATTATTGAAGGTTTTTCTGGTCATCTAGATTGTGTAAAATCCTTTGACATTAATTGGGACAAGTTTTCTTTCTAGGGTTATGTTGAATTTCTCTTTGAGTGTTTTTTCCACCTCTTCATCTTCAAGAGTTACAAATTCCACCAGATCCATATTTTCCTTGTAGTTGTATGTGGTCTCAGTGAGTGTCCACCCAATTAGCGCTTGAAAGCCATCGGTGGTCTGGAGGGTGCAGATGGACTTCTTAGTAAAGAGGGAATCTGGAGACGTCTGAAGGTACGTGCACTGGAAACGGAAATCTTCCACTGTCCGTGGCTCAAGGCTGAACATATAAACTTTCCGACACTCTTTTTTCTCCAGAAGATCAGAATTAGAGAAATTTTGATTGGGGATATATTGTTTCCGCCTCATTTTTTCAAGGTGCCAGATGGCATTTTTTTCCGTGAAGCGAAAGATGCCGGGAGCCTGGGGCTGGTCTTTTCCTGACACAAGCTCCATCGGTTGCCACATCTGATAGGATACACCAAAGCCTCCGTCAACAATATAGGCTTTGCCATCAATAACTACCTTTACGAGGAGGTGGGTCATGATGGTGGCGTATGCGTTTTGATGTGGATTGAACACATATGCTCCCAGAAAGCTGGCGTCGTACCCCAGGCGTTTCAGGACCCATCCCAACAGCTGGTTGTTCTCCATGCACCAGCCACCCCGCTTCCTCTGCACGATTTTGTTATAAACGTGCTCCAACTCCAAAGTAATTTTCTCCCCGCAATGGATGCTGAGGTTTTCGAAGGGAACAGCACGGATGTGGTGCTGGAATATATCAGTTAAGGTTTCCAAATCTTGTTTTTCAAGGGAACCTTTATAGCCAGTTCTCGCAAAATACTCTTCAAGGTTCATGTCACCTGTAAAGGAAGGAATTGCATTTTGGTTTTGTTTCTTTACATCAATGATTTATGATGCTGTGAAAAACTGCCCAGGCTGCTGCCAGCAAAGATGCTTTAATCTACTGAGCCTCATGGGAGCAGTTTTTAGAGGTAACAAGTATTCATATCGAACGGTTCCCAGAGCAAAGAAGAGCAGTGCACGTGAGGGTTTGCTTTTTGTCTCAGAGTCGTCCCTACGGCAAACAGCTGATGCAATTTCAGCTTGATACGCGGGGGCTGTGAAACGAGGCTTCGCTGTATTTGCATTGTACCAGCGGGGTTAAGCAGAAATGTAAGATCACGCTAGGGACTGTTCAGGAGATTTCATGAAAACTGGTCTAAATCCACTGTTCGGTGCAAGGAGTGTCAGTGGGGGAAGCAGTGTCATCTGCCAGTTGGAGGGAGGATAATTTGAGCCAGGATTCACATGTTCTTTTCATGAGTCTGATCTGCATGACAGTAAATGACTTGCTTGTTCGGTACATGTCGCTCTTTCACCACTTACAGAAAGTGAAAATGATACTCCCTGCACATTTTGTGAAATGTCAAGTTTTATTCAGCTAATTATAACTGAGGAAAACCTCTGACCTTTGCAAAAGTTGCAGACCACTCAGTCTCTTGCCTGCTCTGAGTGTTGCACAAACCCATTTTGGTGTTGGAATAATGAATCTGAATGGAGGCCAGTGACCTAGAAGACAAAGAGCACATCTCTATTCCCCGCTGTGCCCCACGTCTCACAGGGTGCCCTGAAAATGGGCAGGGGCTGCTTTACATCTCTCTGGTCCTGGTCTTTCTCAAAATACACTTTTTTCCTTCCAGAGGAGGCGTAACGGAGAATTACCGAAGCCTCGTACAGTGCATCCCTGGTCGGTCCTGCCTCCAGCAGTGTCAACCTCCTGGCCTGCCTTGGTAGGACTCCTCATGAGCAAGATTGCTGGATGAGGAACTACTCAACTTCTGTTCTGCCTTCTAATACCATGGATAGTCACGGACAGTCATCTGGTTGTGGCAATGGCCCGTCACAGTCTGCTGGCCACCGTTATGAGCTGGATGCTCTGTAAGTATCTGACAGGTACCGTTTGTAAAACACGCTGTAGGTCGTCTACTTGGGTATGGAGCTGGGCACACCATGTTTTGAAGGCTTGAACCTTTGCAAAGAAAGCACTAAGCGTTTCGGCAGTCTAGAGTAACTGCGAATATTTAGCTTCTTGACAACCCACAAAGCTACTTGGAAATCTTTTGTGCATACAGTAAGCTGAGGTTTAGACAATATTAGCGACTCAGGAAGACTATTGTGTTCAGATAAATTCAGCAGTGAGCCATGGAATGTTTACTGCAAACTAGAATTTCTCAAGATGATTTTCAGTGACAGATTCGTGATGTGCATATGCGTGGTATAGAAGCGGCTGTCCAAAGTGAGTGGAAAGCCCCATCAAAAGCTGCGTGTTACCTTCTACAGAAAGGAATTTAGCTTCCAGTGATATTTAAGTGTATTGTTGGGGGATATTCTCAATGTAATATTTGTTAAGTAGAACATGAGACTTCTGGCACTTTTTTCTTTTGATTTGCAGAATCCAAGTCTATCCGATCCTACCCGCTCAAATTGTGAATGTTAAATAGATCACACCAGCGTCAAGCTGGATCTCAAGTTTATATTATATGTAATTTCTCTCTGCAGTCCCTAACATGATTGATCAGCGTTAGATCTTGACTCTAGGAGATGAAAGCTACATTTCTTTTGAATTGTGAGCAGATCAGATGAAAAGCTAGATACAGAAAAGGTAGTCCCACAAATGTAGCTATGATTTATGCGGAGAAAAACATCAGCAGAAGAACTTTAAAGGACTATTTCTAAATGTGCAAATGAAGGTTTTCATGCAAAAATATTCCTTAACAGGACTATGCACACTATCAGCAACTCCACTCTTAAAATATGTTATCTGTCTACTTTTATCCTAATATGTCAGCACATGGACTTTCTGGGCTACACAAACCACAGTTTGTAATTTCATTTTTTTAAGTTGTTTTTAAAGGACTGTAATTTTATTCCCATAAAGCAGAATCTATTGATTATTAGATTGCTTTTTTGCTTCCTTTGCCTTTGCAATATTTTTAAAGAAAGTTAAAAATCTAAAAGAATAACTTCCAACAAGAGGTTGTAGTTTTTAAATTTGTATCAACCGTTGTATCTAAACAAAAGCATCTCTCTCATAGTCAAGAGAATCTCCTCCTGAGGAGCAGAAAGACAGAAGAATTGAAATTGCCATATCATTGTTTTCCCCTTTTAAAAGCCCATGTTTAGCAGGCGATATTTTAGCTCTATATCCACACATTTTTGTAACATTTTTCCTAAAGAGAATACTGCTTATGTTATTGCCCATGACCTTTACCGTCATAAATAAACCAAGTTTGTTGTTTGGGTTTTTTGCAGGTTTTTTAAGAAAATAAACTTACCTCTTAAAATAGCCTTATTTATTTATTGATGTATTCAGCTTCTGGGTTGTTTATTACTAGGGCAGCAGTCAGTAAAGCCAGGAGTGGATAGAAATTGCGAGGGTTGTCTTCCGCTTTAAGCTCTGCTGGCTCTCACTCCTGAATCTTAAATGCGGAGAAGGGGCAGAGTCCACCCAAAATGAATGCACATTTTTGGACTTCACTGATCCATGAGCAAATTAAACTTTGTTTCTTCTCTATTAGTAGATGTTTATGTTTTCCCCTGGTTAAGACCAGACTGAACTTGTTTTCCATGTAAAATAATTACAGTAGACAGTCGCAAACGGCTCCATAATTTTTTTTACCTTAAATTATTGTTATTTTGCAAGCCAGCACTTTGCGGTGGAGGATAGTCATCTGCTTCCTTGTGGGTGCACTGAATTGCCAAGGTATTGCAGGCTGTGTTTTCCCAGGCTCCGTGGATGCACAAAATGACCCTTCTTTGCTCACAAAGGAAGCTTTTCGATCTGCTCAAAGCTTCCACTGCAGCAGGTAGTTATTTTTGACCTGCCACACCTAACGAATGCCATGACAAATATTTATTTGCACGACGTAATGCATTTCCTCTCTAAAACTTGGCCTTCTGCATCTTCAAAGTGTTGCAGGGCTGTTTGCTTAATTCTCTCTGTGTCAGGCATGTCTCCTCTTCATTTGATGGAGGTGGAAAGTTGGAGGTCCCTTTTGGGAAGGCAAAGAGCGCATTAGCCTGCATCTGGGAAAGCACCCGAGTTCTGCGCACATCAGGTGCCCCGTGAGTCCGTGCGGTTGAATAATATGAGCGTCAAAGTCTTTTCCTTGGCTAAGGACTGATGCTCTTCTGTCGTCCTCTTTCATGACACATCCTGTACAGCACCTGCCACGGGTATCATATTGCTCACTCCCCCTTGTGTTACGTATGGCATACTGTGAAACCACACTGGTGGCATGTCCTAACTTCCCAGTGTTTTCTTTCATATCTGCAGTATTACTTATTTAAGGGAGCTTTTGTGCAGAATACCTTCTGTAATTAATTTGAAGAGTTTTGTCTATAATACTGTCACGCCTGCTTGACATCGCAGGAAGGTTAGGCCCCAAAGGTTTAGATTATGGTTTGCAAAGGTTGATCTAACTTTGATTGTTTCCATTTTTGATACCAAAAGCCTGATTTTTAAGAACCGTCGAATCGTCTCAGCTTCTATTGATCGTGTTTCCATTTCAGAGACGCAGAAAAATCACACTCAGAAAAACTGGACACTCAAAATTAGAGAGCTTTGGGGGTTTTTTAAGTGCCCTTGCATAAATAGCTCACTTTAAGTCGATTTCTGGTAAGGGAGTAGGACTCAAGTCTTTTAACTTATTTCATCATAAGCTAATCAGCACCTAATAGTGGCTTGTTTTGAGAAAGTCTTAAGCTTTCTTTTTTAATGAAGTCTTTGAAAGCCAAATTCAGCTCAACTTTCTATTTCAGACTGTTAAAGAAAGTGAATAATTTGTAAAACTCTGCTGAGAAGAAGATTGGAAATAATACCAAAAAAGGTTAGAGGTCTTTTGCGTAAAAATGGTAACACAGCTTCTCCTTCTGTAACGTTTTGGTCTTCTTTGCCACAAAATATATCTGAAATAAGATGAGATCCAGAGAGGTGGAACAAAATGTTATGGAGTCAAAAAGCAATTTCTATATGAGCAAATTAGAGGTAGTAAGATGTCTCAGTTTCTAAAGAAGGAGAAGTTTAGGAAAAAATACACAATCGGTATATGCAGTTAATTAGCAATGTACTTGAATTTACCAAGCTTTGTGTTCATCTGACTAGCTCAACTTTAGAATCAGATTAATGTCATTAATGTTAGTTTTAGATCTTTTTATGTTGGATATTTAAAGATCCATCTAGTACAACATTAAAATTAGATCGTATCCACTAAATTAGGTGGCAAGCCACGAACGTTCACTGGTACGAGTTTGTTCTCCAGCACTATATTGAATTTGTCTTTCAGTGTCTTCTCAACCTCTTCATCTGTAAGAGTTGTGATCTGCACCAGGTCCACGTCCTCCATGTAATTATACTTCACCTCAGTGAAGGTCCATCCAACTAAGGCATAAAGCCCTTCAGTGGTCTGGAGACTGCAGATTGACTTCTTCTGAAGTATGGTATCTGGAGACACTTGTAGGTACGTGTTTAGCTCCTGGAAGTCATTTATATGTCGTGGCTCAAGAGTAAATGTATACATTTTTCTGATATTCCCCAGTTCTGGCGTATCAGTATCACTTTGCTCGGGAATATAATGCTTCCTTTTGACTTTCTCTAAGTACCAGGTGCCGTTGTCTTCCATGAAGCGGAAGATGCCGGGGATCTGGGGTTGATCCTTCCCAGAAATCAACATCAATGGCTGCCACGCCTGGTAGGCACCACCAAAACCGGCATCTACTATGTAGGAATTTCCCTTGATCACCTGCAGGATATGATTTAGCTCAGCACTGTATGCCCTCTCTGCTGGCTTATAACTGTTTCCTCCAAGAATACAAACGTCATACCCTAATTCTTGCAAGGCCCAAAATAAAAGGTGGTTGCTTTCCAGGCACCATCCACCACGTTTCTTTCTCACAATCTTATTGTAAATAGGTTGTAAATCCAGTTCGATGGTCTCCCCGCAATGCATGCTGAGGTTTTCAAAAGGAATTGCCTGGATGTGGTGCTGGAAGATGACTGTTAAGGTTTGCAAGTCTGCATCCTTATGGGACTCGTTGTAAGAAATCCTTGCGAAATACTCTTGAATGTTCATTTCGCCTGGGTGAGCAGAAAAATAGCCAGTTACTGTTGTGCGGCTGTCAAGGGGTTCACTCCTATTCCTGTAGCACAGGTTAACCAGCCTGCCAGTGTAGCCCAGGCTGTTTTACTGGGGATTTGAAAGAAGCCTGTGCCCTTGGTAGGAGATGAATGCAGGCTAGACCTGCCTGTGCCATCTGTACTTCTTAAAAAAGAGATGAGGGTAGGAGCAGGTGACAGTAATGCTTTCCCTCTCTCGGATGTTGCCTTCAACCCAGGTGGATGTCTTTCCCATGGAAAGACACGGCACGTGGCACAACAGAATCTCTGGCCCCGAATGGGGGTCCCACGTGACAAAAAATGTATAAAACTGACAAACAACAGGTTTGCAGAAAAGCTGCCAGACCATACAGGCATGAAAGTCACAGCAATTTCTTACTGTTTCTTTTACTGTAACAGGTAAGCAATTCTTTATTTATCCCACGGGTGATTTAACTGGAAGGTTTTACAGCCATGGCCTCAGCTAACTGGGATTAACACCTCAGCGTGTCGCCATTTTAGACAGGCTGCCATGTGAAGTGGATTGTTGTTTCCTCAATCTCTTTAGTTTCCCTGTGGAGTTCAGACAGAGCTTTGACCCTGGCTGTTGAAAGGAAGGAACTGCTAATTTTTCTAACCTAAGGGTCAGAGGAATTGATAATTACTAAGAATACATTCAAGGCGCATTCATCGGCTTTTGGTTTCTTTTACCATCTTTTACAAACCAAGGCCTTAGTTTCAGCTTAAATTATTGGATATATTTTGTGTCTTCATGTCTCTGATCCCCTTCCCTTTCATTAGCAGAAAGAGACTGTCATTGGTACCGGCTGCGTGGCCAAGATGCAAAAGGTTCCCTATAACATTTCTAATCCACCGACTCATCTGGGATCTGAAAGGATTTCTTGTCCCTTTAATTTAGATTTAATTTGGCTTTTTTCCATGCAAGGATATTTGTTTTCCAGAACCATTCACAATCTGCTAAGGACTGTATTAATTGCCAAAAGGTCAGAGCATTTCTTGCTCCTTGAAATCGGTCGCACATTCCCTGGGAGGATTTTCCAAAAATCATTTGACGCAGAGGAGATGGGAGAGATTATCTTCCAGCGCCTGTTCTCAGCTTTGGTCCAACTGCTCCCCCGGGAGTGACCAGCAGTTTGACTTGATGTCCATGCCAGCACTCATGAGCTTTTGAAAATCCCACCTCAAATACATAGGTGGAAATACCCCTGCCCCTGCAGGTCAGCATGTCAGATGACCTAATCTCTAGACTTTAACCACAATTTTCATGCCAGCAGCACAACTCACTTGACTTTGTTGTGTTGCTCCTGATCTGCACTGGTACCAGGATTCAGACTAGCTGATGCAAAAACATGAGAAAATATTACAAAATAGAGGACTATCCCAATAAGGGAATAAGAAATAAATATTTTCACTTCAAAAGGACCCAAAGAGGCTACATGAAAAAACAGTAATGTGTCTTTGATACTGCATTTTATGGTTTTTTCCATCCCTTTTTTAGGGCAAGGGCACTCATCTCTGGCAGGATCTCCTTGGAAACGCTGGCTGTAGAAAGCCATTCCCTCCCCAACAGCACGTGTGCGCTGGCAAGCTCATCCTGTGGTCCTCTGCCTCGTTTTTTCTTTCTATTCCTACTTTTAGCCATTTTGCATAGCCAGATAGAAACATCTTTTCCCTGTGACGGTGTCAAGCCAAACCTCTGTGACCAGGAGGGGCCCAAGCAAGTCCATTAGCCTGGTGGGTCTGATACGCTTTAAATTTGCTTTCAAGCAAAAACCGATCAGTCCCTGCTCTGGGCCAGCAGCAGAAGACCCCATGCCCTCCCTATAACCTGTCTCCTGGGTCTGGGTGTCCCCACCGCCCCGGCGATTGTGCAGCGTAGAACCAGCTCCCCTCTTCCAGCCATGAGCAACCTCCCCATCGGGAGCCTCCATGGGCTGCTGGCAATGAGGCTTCGCAAAACATTTTCTGGGAAATTCGCGGCCCGTGCCTCGCTTTCCCCAGCTGCCCCTTCTCTGGCCTCATCAATTTAAAGTCTGTCTAACAGAGACGGCCTCGCCGTGGCTGGCAAAACGGGCTCTGATCTCAGTCAACACTTAAAGAGGCTTAAGTATCATAAAGCTGCAGTGCAAAAGCATTGGCGTTAGGGAGCATTCACGTAAACCAGTGTTTACTCCCTCACCTTCCCAGAGGCAGCTTTTTTTCTGGGCACAACCATTCCCACCGCGCTGGCGACGGGGCTGCGGCAGCGAGCGAGCCCTCGCCCAGGGGACAGTTTGTGTTCCAAAACCAGGTTAAGCCTCAGTCCAGATCTCAGCCTCGGCTACTTTTGCTCCCGCAGCAGCCGAGCTTCATTCAGCATTCGCGCATGTTTACAGAGCAGCGTGGTGGGTAGCGGGATTCAGACGTTAGTTCTGCCTGTCTGCAAGCGTCCCTGGGGATCTCTGGGTCCTTTCATAATTAGGCTGAAGAGATCTTCTCTGCTAAAATTCAGGAGAGGCTTCCAAGGTTGGATCCTCTTGCACGTGCCTCTACCATTTGTTTGATTTTAAGCTACGCTGCGAGTCAGGAGCTGGGTTTTTCGTACACTCTGGCTCAGCATGAAGGGGTTAGTTTAAGTCTCGAGCGCTTGATCTTTGTACTGGGACAACGTCCTTGCAATGCAACGCATGCTGTCGGCTGTGGGGTTGCTGATTTATATAAAGTAATTTATACTTTGCTGATGTGCTTACAGTGCTAAGCACATGCTGTGCAGACACACAGGGGTGGGCTTTTCCAAACAGGCTGACCCACAGCTGCAGGATGAAGTTAAAGATCAGACACTCGGGCACTTACCTCTCAGCCAGCGAGCTCAGGCTTTCTGCCCTGGTTTGCTCCAAAGTTCCCAGGAATAGTTGTACTGGGAACTGCTGCTCTTAAAGGTCCAGGCTGCCTTTACTGCCTGGCAGGGACAGCGGTACCCTCCAGCAGAATAGAAAAGAGGGGAGAGAGTTTCTTCTTTTACGGTATTTTATATTCTGATGGTTTAATTGGTTTATTTATATTGACATGTGCGTAGAAAGCCCTGTCATGCAATTCATTTTTTTAGGTGCTGCACTGAGAGCCTGGAAATGATCCAGTCCCCAAATTGTTTACAATATTGAGTAGATTTTAACCTCCCACAGTACTGATTGAGAACTGAAGCCCTCCAGGAATGCAAAGGAGAAATACAGTATGGGTATCGCAAGCAACTTCTGTAGTGGTTATAAACCCATCCTCAACCCCGCAGCTCACCCAGGTGCTTCAGTCTCTGGGGCACCTTGATGGCTGCACCCACTCTGAAGCAGCAAAGCAATAGTGCAAATTTTGATACAGATTTTACATTGTTGACGCTCATGTGGCCTGGATCCCTGTAGGAAGCAACTTATATTAGAGAGAGAGCAATCCAAGCCAAGAAGTCACTGATTTATTGGTGGGGCATGGCAGCTGTTGAATTAATCACATTGCACTGAGCTATTCTTCGTGGCTGATACCAGGCCCCCAACACAACAAGGTCAGATTTGCCAAATCATTTAGCTGTCTAAATCCCCTTGGGTTCAAAGAGAAGCCCTGTCCTTCGGCAGCGAGGATGCTGCTCCCGGAGAGCCCTGCGCTCCCTGAGCCTGCTATATCTTTAAGGATTTGCCTCCAAAGTTAGTGATAAGGAAAAAGCAAACTAGTGCAATCTGAGATGAAAAGCCTCTTTTTTTCCCCCTTCCAACAGAGAGCTTCATTCGATTGCTCAGCAATAAAATCTGCTTCTGTGGGTGTGCTGAGTAGGAGGTCCAGAAGTGCTGAGCTGTGCCACGAAGCGGGCAGCAGCCGGAGCAGCGGACGGGGCACATGCTCAAGGAGATGAGTCAGCTGAAAGGAAAGAGGTTTTTCCTATTATTGTTTGCCCTTCACATGCTGAATCTCTGGGGCAACGGACATCACACTCTACTCCTTCCCCTGAGCCTATGAAACAGCCCAAAGCACAAGAAACACCCAGGCACGGGGAGAGGAACGGGCGCAGCCCTTTCTAGGTGTTTCGCATGTTTGTTCCCACACATGATGGAGCATCTTGGCTCTTCGTAGACCTTCTGCTGCCCCACGCCTCTGCGAGACCTGGCTGGGCTTTCACCTCCGTCCCGATGCTCTGCCCCAGCTGCCAGCTGCTGCAAGGGTAAACCCACCCAGTGTAGCTCCTTTAGCTCTTCCACTAACGTGGGCACCAACGAAGGATACAGCTTGCAAACAAGCCAGATCCTGGGATCCAGTTTCTTCTGACCATCCCTGTTGCAAGCTGCTGGTCCACACTATAAGAAGCCCCTTTTTCTTCTGCAATCCACTACAGGGTCAGTCGTTAACATTTCATTTCCCTATAGGATGGGGGAGCCTCATGCGCTATAAGGGACTATTGCACACATGCAGCCAAGCACATATAGAGGCGTTTGACTCTGGGAAGACGGGGATTTGGGGAACTCACTGTGTCTCTATGAAATACCTTTTGAACATGCAGAATAGCAGCAGCTTTTATTAACTATAAATTCCTAGTTATAGAAAGCTGCACATATTGCATAACAAATAAAAAAGGGTCAGTGAGTTATTGTATTTCTTAAAGCCTTAGCTGCGAAATAGTAGCACATACAAATAATCAGGACAACTGCAGTGATTAATGAAATTTTTCGCTTTCGGAATACACATAGTAATTTGGAGAAAAAACAGCTGAATATTACTACTTCACAATTCTTGATTTACTTATTTAATTGTAATTCACTTATATAATTGATTGAATTATAAGTACATAGTTGTAATCCTTCCATGATTTGTACATAAAGGAACATCCAGCATCATCTTGAAGGGGAAAAGGATTACATTTGAGCAATTTCCCACAGTAAAAATCTTATCCTTTAGGTATCTGATTAAGAGTCATCGTTTCTCCTTACATCAATATAATTAGTATCGCTGCAAACACATCCTCAATAGAACAGATATGTTTCAGAAAAATAATGCTGCATACGTGATGAGTTCAGCCATGATAATTAACATGCAATACACTCGGAGAAGAGTAGCGCTTTCATGAGAGGAGCGTGTATTCAGATCAGTCCGCTGCTGGGTGGGAGCAAACAAAATGCATGGGAGATGCTTTGAGTTCAAACAAATACTGCTTTTTGGTTATGTCACTGAGAGAACAGGAGTAGTGTAAAGTCTGAAGCAACACAGAATTGTCCGCTAATATTTCTCATCATCGTGCCCGTCGGTAAGTATGTGCACAGTGCGGCACAGGCGTGGGACTGTCCGACTGCCGCGTGAGAGGGTGTTGTGAACGCAAGAGCAAAAAGGACAGGCTTATGGCTTACCTGTAGCAAACTCGGCACTGGATGTCTTTGTTTTTCTGGGTATTAAATTCCAAAAATAATACAGTATTCATTTAAGAGGTGGGGATGATTTTCCCCAGGTGGCAGCGCAAAGTAATAAAGAAAGAGACATACAGCTCCATCGCTCTGCCCTGCTACTCTGGGTGTATTTGGAAAAGCTTTTAAGAGATGAAAGGAGTAGGGAATGGGCAGAGTCCGCTTCCAGCTAAGCACAAACAGAAGGGGAGTGATTTGATTGAGCTAGGAAGAAACTCTTTGTACCCAAACCAAAAACAGATGCAGGAGCAGTTCTGAAAATCAGTTTCTTTTCCAGATTCATGCTAAGAGGTTCTGCCTTGCACTGGTGTAGGTGGAAAGAGAAAGCTTAACCTTTAGATGCTTGTCAGAAATAGGGGGAAGGATTGCATGTAATGCCACTGGATTGAACTATAATTCAGGTAGTGAGTTAAAACAGAGACAACCTGCTTCTATTGACGGGTACAAATTTCTTGTCTAGTGTTATATTGAATTTCTCTTTCAGTGTTTTCTCCATTTCTTCATCTGCAAGGATTCTGATTTCCACCAGATCCATATTATCCTTATAATTGTACTTTATCTCAGTGAGTTTCCACCCCACCAGAGCCCAGACACCATCGGTGGTCTGCAGGCTGCAGATAGACTTTGTCACAAACAGCGAGTCCGGCGCTGTCTGCAGGTGGGTGTTGCAGGCTCTGAAGTCTTCGATGTCTCGTGGCTGAAGGGTGAAGAGATAAACCCGATGGCAAACTTCTTTTTCCACGTTACGGGAAGTGGAGATGCTTTGCTTGGGAACCCACTGCTTCCTTTTCACCTTCTCGAGGTACCAGACCCCGCTTTCCTCCAGGAACCGAAAGACCCCAGGGGTCTGCGGCTGGGCTGTCCCTGCCACATCTGGTAAGCCATCCCGAACCCGCCATCCACAATGTAGGATTTGTCATCAAGCTCCACTTTTAGCAGCAGATGATCGATGTCATCTGCATACGCATCGTACTCCGGGACATAAACATTTGATCCCAGAAAGGTGACATTGTAGCCGAGGGTTTTCAGGACCCAAGATAAAAGGTGGTTGTTTTCCATGCACCAGCCCCCGCGTTTCTTCCTCACTATCTTGTTGTAAATGGCTTCCAGGTCCAGCTCGATGCTTTCCCCACAGTGGATGCTGAGGTTTTCAAAAGGGACCGCTCGGATGTGATGCTGGAATATATCCGTCAAGGTAGGCAGGTCCGGATTATCGTAGGAGCCCCGGTAAGAAATTCTGGTGAAATACTCCTGGATGGCCATGCTGCCTCTGAGAGAAGGGTGAGAAAAAAAATAACAGGTTGTGTCAGAAGTGACAGAAGCACCTTCCCATCCCTTATAACGGGGCGCTCATCAGTATGGGCAGCCTGCTCACAAGAGGAGCGGGATTTGGCTGATGGCCCTATCAAAGGCAGCTGAGTGTGAGTATTAGCACTGAGGGAAGCCAATGGGACAATGCTGACGAGCACAAATGTTATTTCTAATTGTTTCCTGACACACACCAAATTGCATGGGAATTTTGGAAAGATACTTTCAATATATACACAAAGCGATGAAAATGAAAAACTTCCATTTGGTGTAATATCCTGGCAGAAAAAGAGGGTGTCCCCATTTGGCTTCCCACTTTCCTAACCTTTAGGATAGAAACATTGCAGAAATCTCTAACTAGTTCATCACGGCCACCACCACGTCTTCAACATCCAACAAGCTGGCCTGAATGATCCCACATGGGGTTAAGAGCATCAGGTTATTATTCGGGGGATTCTCTTTGTTCAGCTTTTGGCTTGTTCCCAAGCTTTTCCCCAAAGCCCCAGAACTACAACTCTATTCACTTTTGGAAACTTGGCAGAAACTTAGTTCTTGCTGTGTGAACTTTAAACCAGCATCACCAGCAGTGAGCTGGTTTTCCCTTTCTTTCTCCCTTGCTTTTACTTTGCCACAGCAGGCAAAACACACTTAGTAACACTTACTTAAAGGGAAAACATTGGTGTGGGGTTTTTTCTGTCTGCCTGTCCATCTCTTGCGGGGGTGTATAAGGCCCTTTCAGCTGTGGTATCTGAAATAAGTCAGATGGCACCAATGCCTGAGCTGCTGGAGGCTGATAAATGAGCAAATAAACCAGCGTATCTGTTACACCGAGCGGCTGAGCGTTCCCCGCTCTGCCGTTACCCCATTTTCTGCTGTGTTTTGTCTTCAAACAGATTTAACTTCCTGGTTAGGAAGCGCTCAGCTACCAAGGTTTGGGGTTTAAAAGAAAGGCTTACCTGGAAAATCGGTTCAACCACCAGTGTATCTCCGGGGTTTGAGGGGATGGTTTCAGGCTAAAGCAGGTGGCATGGCTGGCTGTCCTTCACCTAGTGCAGGCAGGGCTTGAGGACTGTTCTCCAGCTCCTCTTCAGGGGAATGTCCTTTCCCCCAACTTGCTTTCACCCGCCTCTGTCAGATTGCAAAAGCTGGGGAAAAAAAAAAAAAAAGAAAAAAAAACCCAGAAGGGTGGAGCACGAGAGCTGTAGCGAGCGAGCAAAACCAACAGCACTGACTCGACATGCCTGCAAAACCTGGTTGTTATCAGAGCAGAGGCTGCTTCGCATTTTCACTCCTTTCGTGCTTTCTGCAGGGGCTAGCTCGGGCTGTGACGAAAAGGGTATGTTTGTGGTTCAGTAGCTGGCTGAATGCACTTGGGTAAGAGACATTTTTTCCCAGGTATTAGGTTACTATTTGTTTGGAAACGTGGGGAAGAAATCTTGCATGCAATCAATCTGAGAAGGTTTTTGCACTGTTTCTGAAAAGCAGCAAGATTTCGGCACAGTGATTTGACCCTCGCCCCGATCAGCACGCACAAGAACTTCAGCGCTGCCTTTGCTTAATTTGCTCTCTATGATTTACGTGTATTTTTTTATTACAGTCAATCTCGTAGAATGTAAGAAAGCATTGGGACAGCAGTGCGTCTTCTGTGGTCTTTGCCCACAAGTAGCCGCTGAAGATGTCGTGGTGGTGAAGATGCTGTTGGCGAAGTGATGACTCGGGAGTGCTAACACATAGGGAGCTCCGTCCTTTCGGTGTGTTTCATACTGCTTTTGTACCTGCAAATTTTGCTTGCATTGTGCCAAGCCAAGGCTTGTTAATTCTCTCATAGATACAGCTGGATTCTTTCCCGTTAGTTCCCCAACAGTACTTCCAGTTCTTCACATTTAGTATCAACGGCAAGTTTCATTCAAACACTGATTTATTGGAATAATTAGCAGAGATAATAAATCAGACCAAACAGAGATGTCTGTGGTAACCCATTACACAGCTCCACTCTTGTATCAAAATTTGGCTCTTTATCATCCCATCAATGGCCGGTGTTTGACCTCACAAGCGAGAACCGATGCCCAAGCCGAGAGGCGCTGAAGGGAAGGGATTACCTGCCCTCATCGGGCTCCTCTGGGCAGATCCAACTTGGTACAAAGAGAAAGTTCACACTCCTGGGTGGACCTTGCTCTGCATGGAATAATCCCTTCTCCTCCCACAGGCTAAGAACCCCTCATTTTGACAACGAGAAGCCAAAAGCTGAGCAGGCAGACCCGCAGTCCTGGCAGGAACCGTACAGAAAAGAAGCCCATGGGCCCGTCGCTGTGCAATGTGCGAGCAGACCCGGCTGTGCTCCTTGCCCAGAGCCATTTGGGACCACAGATGGTGCCAGAAGCGGACACTTGCCCTGCTCCCTCAGGCAAACGTGTGAAGTGGTTGGGGATCTGTTCCAGCTAACTTTGGGGTCCCGTTAAGACACAAGTGTTTTCTAACCAAGTAGGAGCAAAACCCATTTCTCCTGGTTCTTTGATACTCAGCTTTTCTCCTCTCCCTAGAACGTAGCTCTGATATTGAGCATTTTCTTCCCGTGTCTTTCAAATTCTCATCCCATCTCACTATCCTGTGCTGTCGATCCTGCATCTCTCTCCTTTTTCTTCCCATCCTGCCCATTTTGCTCCTCAAGCCATTAAAACCCTGAGCTCTCATTCTCCGCAGGCGTGCCCAAGGCCGTCAGAGGGCAAAACTCACTCAATGAGCGCTGAAAGTAAGAAAAGGCTTATCTTGACCCAGGAGCCTTGCCAGAGGCTGTTTGCATTTCAGCTCTGTGCCAGATCATTGGGGCTAATTTCAGGCTTGGTGGGACAATAAACTGCAATCACGGCTGCTGGGTAATGGGGTCACGACGTGCCTGCCCCCGTCCCCAAAAGCAGCAAAGGGCACAGCCCAGCTTGGGCCGGCTGGGTTGCGGGGAGCGTGACTGCGGGGTGAAGGTGCAAAAGGGAATGCCCTTGGAAAGGATGTTGTTGTCCACCTGGACACTGTCATGCAGTTTCCCAACCTTGGCCGGAGCTGAAGCTGGTTGAGCTTTTTCCAGAAGACCCTCAATGTAATTGCACAGTAAATAATTTATTTCTGAAATCCTTCTGTCATCCTAACTCTCCTGAGAGGTTGCATCAAATATCCCTCCCTCCCCACTTTAACAAAGTATTATACGCTGCAATATTTGCCTGGGGAAATAAAAGCATAGGGTGCCCTGTTTGGGGTAATGGTCAAGTGTCTGCTCGCTGTTAAACAGCTCCCCTCTATAATGACCTCTGTGATGGGCTGTATAACAAAGCAAGGTTTATTATATTAATTATATTATATTATA